TTGATTTCAAATTTTAAAAAAGATAATGGATAAGAAGTATTCTTAAATCTGAATCGATAAATAGGATAAAAAGATAGTTAGTATTGAATACTCTTAAGTTCCAGAACCTTATTCCCAAGAGAATAAAGGTAAACCAAACAAAATAGCAAGTAGAAAAAAAGAGAAGAAAATTATTGTTAGGACAAATGATTGATTTGCAATCACATTAGAAATGCATAATTCCAAGAAGGAAGTAGTGACTCATATGTTATCTTGGGTATTTTTTTTTAAAGTGGAATCGAAAAGAGAGAAAGAGAGTAAGAGAGAAAAGAAAAGGGTAACGACGAAAATGTTTTTTTTTTGCAGTGTCTCACGGGTCTATGAAGGACCAGACCCTGATGTGGCAGCAAAATTCATACATGGGAGACTCCGGAATAAATTCAGGAGTGACCACGCAAGCTCCTTCGCTGACCGGAAAAGAAGAAGAAATGGAGGAGCAATTGATGTTTGATTTGGATCAAGAGTTCACTCAGGGATTCACTCAGGAACAAGTGGACGGTAATAATTTACGATCGGAGAGGGGAGTGGAGAAGAAAAAATAAAAATTAAATTTTCACACGTTGTTTTTTTTTTTTTTTTGGGTTGCGGTCGAGCAGAAATGAACCAACAATTGAGCCAAACGAGATCGCAAAGAGTGAGAGCAGCCATGTTTCCGGAAACCCTGGAAGAAGGAATCGAAATTCCTTCGACGCAATTCGATCCGGGTCAACCGACAGCGGTCCAAAGATTGGCAGAACCGAGTCAAATGTTAAAACACGCCGTTGTGAATTTGATAAATTATCAAGACGACGCGGATCTCGCGACGAGAGCCATACCGGAATTGATAAAATTGCTAAACGATGAAGATCAAGTGGTGGTTTCCCAGGCCGCCATGATGGTGCACCAGTTGTCTAAAAAAGAAGCGTCTCGTCACGCAATAATGAACAGTCACCAGGTGAGTTCGAAATATTTGTTTCATTGTTGATTCGACGCGAACGAAACGAAAAAAAAAAAATTCGGTTTCCGGTCAGAAAACAAAAGGTCACACGACAAATAATTTTATTTGGTTTTTAAATTTTTTTTTATCTGCTTGCAACGGACAAACAAATGAATTTGATGCCGTTAACAGCAAGTAAGTATATATACAATAGTTGAAAAAAAAAAAAAAGGGTTTTACTGTACTGGGATTTTAGTCTACAATTTAGATTGTAGCGAAGAGGTATTGGAAATAAATTAAATACGAATCGATTTTAAAGAGATGATTTTTTTTTTCACGCGTAGATGGTGGCAGCCTTGGTTCACGCCATATCCAGCAGCAACGATTTAGAAACTACGAAGGGAGCTGTAGGAACGCTTCACAACCTTTCCCACCACAGGCAAGGGTTGCTTGCAATTTTCAAAAGCGGAGGAATCACGGCTCTCGTAAAACTGTTGAGGTAAAAAAAAGTTCGAGAAAGGCGGAAAAGAATGATAAAAAAAAGAGAACAAGAGTTTGTGCACGAGGAGGCGAGAAATTAAACAAGTGGGATGAAATTTTTTCAGTTCTCCGGTAGAATCCGTGTTGTTTTATGCCATCACGACGTTGCACAATCTTTTGCTACATCAAGAGGGTTCGAAAATGGCCGTCAGATTGGCAGGCGGTCTGCAAAAAATGGTGGCTCTCCTTCAAAGAAACAACGTGAAATTTTTAGCCATCGTTACGGATTGTCTTCAAATTCTCGCGTACGGCAATCAAGAATCGAAATTGATAATCCTGGCATCTCAAGGACCCATCGAATTAGTTCGCATCATGCGATCTTACGACTACGAAAAATTACTGTGGACGACTTCGAGAGTTTTAAAAGGTTCGATTGACCGACGGGAATCACAAAAATTCTATAAATGAACGAGTCGACAACGAATCGAAATTAATTTTTTTTTTTTTTTTCAGCACTTTCTGTGTGCGTGAGCAATAAGCCGGCGATAGTCGAGGCCGGAGGCATGCAAGCACTGGCCATGCATTTGGGACATCAAAGTCAGAGACTCGTTCAAAATTGTCTTTGGACGCTGAGAAATTTATCGGATGCGGGTACGAAAGTTGACGGACTCGAAGCATTGCTTCAGAGTTTGGTTCAGTTGTTAGCGTCGACGGACGTGAACGTGGTGACGTGCGCAGCCGGAGTGTTAAGTAATTTGACGTGCAACAATCAACGCAACAAAGTGACCGTGTGTCAGGTAAATAATATAACCATTAAAGAGTATTCACTATTTTCAAAAATAAATACATACCTATTTTTTGTTTTTCTTTAGGTGAACGGAGTAGACGCTTTGGTGAGAACCATCGTGAACGCAGGAGACAGGGAAGAGATCACGGAACCAGCCGTGTGCGCTCTGAGACACTTGACTTCGAGACACGTCGAAGCGGAAAGAGCTCAAAACGCAGTTCGTCACAATTACGGTATTCAAGTGATAGTAAAACTTCTTCATCCTCCGAGCAGGTGGCCACTGGTGAAAGCGGTCATAGGATTGATCCGCAACCTGGCACTATGCCCGGCGAACCACGCTCCGTTGAGAGAACACGGAGCAATACATCATTTAGTCAGACTTTTGATGAGAGCATTCCAGGATACGCAAAGAGTGAGTAAAAGAAGTCGGAAAAAAGAACTAGCATCGATGTTTTTTTCTTATGCGCAAATTGTATTTGCTTTCAGCAAAGATCGTCGGTTGCGAGCAGCGGGAGTCAGCAACCGGGAGCATACGCGGACGGGGTCAGAATGGAAGAAATCGTCGAGGGAACGGTCGGAGCTCTTCACATTCTAGCTCGGGAGTCTCACAATCGCGCCATCATACGCGGTCAACTCGTGATTCCGATATTCGTTCAACTTTTGTTCAACGAAATCGAAAACATTCAAAGAGTGGCCGCCGGGGTTCTTTGCGAATTGGCTTCGGATAAGGAAGGAGCAGAAATGATAGAGCAAGAAGGAGCCACGGCTCCGTTGACAGAACTTCTTCATTCCAGAAACGAAGGAGTCGGTGAGTGGCGGAAAACGATGATCTTTTCAATATAATAAAACGTATTATGAAATAACGTATTTTTATTTCGTATTTCAGCGACGTACGCGGCAGCCGTTTTGTTCAGAATGTCTGAAGACAAACCCACCGATTACAAGAAACGACTTTCTTTAGAACTCACGAATTCGCTTTTCCGCGAAGATCAAAACATGTGGAACGGAGGCGACATAGGAATGGCTCCCGATATTCAGGTAATAGAACCGACGGCAATGAATCGCGACCGTTAAACTCAAATCAGGGTTACACGTACACACAGACACATGCAATACCACGAAATATCGACGATAATAATAATAATAATACCGTAGAATGCATTTAATTAGTTTGTTTTTTTTTTTCTTTCGTACCGCAAAATTATTAATTTTTTTTTATTGCAAATGGTTGACACGCGAAATAATTGCAATTCTTTCACCTCCCTTTGTTATTAAACGTAAAATAAAACGTTCTTGCCAGTGCACATTTTATCGTTCATTATTATATGCATTTTATGTGATATAGCAAATTAGCAAAAAGCAAATTTAAAATTTTTTATTTGATGACGTCACCCAGTGCATTGATCCATTGTAGAAAATTTATAGTTTTTTTTTTTTTTTTTGCAAGAGCGAGAGAATTTTTTAGTTTAGTGCATATTTTTTTTATTTTATTATTTAGATTATCATTTATTTTTTTTGTTATTATTTTGTTTTATTTTGTTTTTTACTATAAAATATTATTTTGATCGTCGTAATGCGACGTTACAGGACATGTTAGGGTCGGATCAAGGATATGACGGTATGTATGGCCAAAGTCCCCCATCCGTTCACAGCAGTCACGGAGGAAGACAGTACGGAAATCAGGGTGAGTAGTACCTTTACTTATAATTTTCCCTCCTCCTTTGGTAATTTTGGTAATTGCATATGCGCATGCTCATAGTCGGAGAATGTCTATCTATCAATCATTTCCTCATTGCTTAGCTTTATTTTTTTTATTTTTCAACACGTTGCGCACACGTGGTCGCCGTTTTATTTTTTTTTTTTTGACTCGTCCAATATCGAACGCCTTAATATGATATAATATCGAATCGCGTTTAAATCGATTTTCCAGGCTATGACACGCTACCAATAGATTCAATGCAAGGATTAGAAATCGATAGTCACGGTCCCGGATCGAACTATGGTCCCCTCGGGGACGTCGGAGGAGATTCGACCGCGTTGGATTTCGATCATTTGGACGATTTGCCTCAACCCCCCCAAGACAACCATCAATTGGCCGCGTGGTACGACACAGACCTTTAGAAATTCTAGTTTTATAGGATCTCTCGCATAGGTTTTTATCGATTCGTGTTAATATAATTTTTTTGTCTTCGTGACAAAAGACCAGGGATTTCGATTCCCACGGGGTATGATGATTTTTGTTTTATTTTTCTTTGAATTTTTCCGCGTCGAAAAATTCAAACGAGGTGCAAAAATTTACTGGAAAAATGTCGTGCCCTGTATGGAAACGACACGGTCTCACACCCACACAAACACTTTGAAAAAACAATTTTTTAAATTAATAATATTTTATGTATTCGTGCTTTAGTTTTTTTTTTTTTTTTTTTTTAAATTTTATTTATTTTTTCATTATAATAGACATAGTTTTTTTATTTAAATGAATTTTTACAAAATTTTACATACGATTAAACAGGATTTTTATATAATTAATTTATTCAATTAGTGTTTAAATAATAAATAAATAAATGTTTTTTTATTAAATAATAATTTTTTTCGTTTAATAAGTTTTCGAAATTTGCCAAAAAGCAATACATTTTTAAAATAAATGAATTAGGAAAGAAAAATTTTTTTTGATAGTAATTATGGTCTAAAATGAAAAAAATGACAATTTATATTCACGAGCTAATAATTATACATTTACTGAAGCTAGGAATCCCTTAATTTGTACACAACTTATTACTACGATGCTTTTAAATTATTAATTTCAGATGCTAATGCTGCTGTTGCTTCTTGAATAGCACTTTGTTTAGAATTTTCATTTGTTTTTACCTTATTTTCTCCAGTCGATGGATTTCCACAAACCTTTTTATGTACAAACCAATGATACTTTTGACAATCTTTATCGCAATATTGTACTGATTTACACCTGGAACATTTTTTACTTCTTTTTTCTTCTCCACAGGTTGCACACGAGTCAACATCAGAGTCGATAAATCCTAAAAAAACAATATATTCGTTAAAATAAAATTTGTAATGTTCCAAGATATAATTTAAAAATCTATTCTTTAATTTTATCAAATTTAGAATTCATAATATTGCAATGTGAATGTGCAACTACCTCTCTGACCATTAATTACTGAAGTAATAACTGTAAGAGCTCCATAACCGGAATTATCTTTGGAATTTAAACCACGAACCATTTGTCTGTAAGTTGTACACTCTCTATTATGAAAAGAAGCGACAATTTCTTTTAAAAATTGTTCCAGATAAGCTCCATTTGTTGATTGCAAAATTTTTTTTATCAATAATTCAGCAGCTCCAACATATTTTTTTGAACTATATTTAGGATTATTTACTATTTCTTTTTCTAACCTAAATTTATCATAATGTTTAAAATTAATTATATAAAGTTAGCGTCTTTTATTATTACACATAAAATTAAAAAAAAGGAATTTACTTGATTATTTTTTCAATAATTTTACTTAGGTAAAAAAACTTAAATGACATAATTTCATTTGTTTCTAAACCTTTTTTCATTTCTTTTTCACTCATTAATTCTAAAACATTTTTGACTTTTTCAGCATTTTCAATCAATAATGGCGATTTAATAAAATTAATAATTATTTTAACAGGGTTAAGATTTACCTAAAAAAAAAATAAAAAATATTAATTTGTTTTGAAAAATTCAAAGTGTTTTTGCATTTAAATAAAAAATTAATATATTTTTGCACCTCCATGACAAATTTATGTAAAGGTCCAGAAGCCAAAGCTGGTAATTTTGGTTCGACTTCAAAACCTGATGGTACAGTATAATAATCAATATCAGACTTGGGTACAAAATTATTAATTATGGTAACACAAGCATGATTTCCTACAGGAAATAATAAAAAAGAGGATTATTTCTAAAATAATAAATGAATATTATAAATCATGAATCGAAAATAGGAATAAAGTGGACAAACCGACAAAAGCTGCCATTTGAGAGGGAGTTCTTCCGACTGAATTAGTCGCATGAGTTTTAGCACCATGCTCTAAAAGTAATTGACAAACTTCTGTACTTCCTGATAAAGCAGCAAAATGAAGGGTTGTGTAGCTGTAATCATGCTTAGTGGAATTTACATCAGCACCCTTTAAAGAAAAAAAAAAAAATTTCATTTAATTAACTCTTAAAAAAAAGGAAACTACTGTCATACAAAGTTTACATTTAATACAAATCAATTACCTGATCTAATAAAAATTGTACCATTTCTTTGCTTCCTTTATAGGCGGCATGTTGTAAAAGAGTCATACCATGTTCATCGTATGTATCCGGTTTTATATTGTGACTCGATAAAAGATTTTTAACAGAATTTAAATCATTTTTTAATATTTTATCAATTACATCCTTTTGTACATCCATAATTATTATAAATACTTTGCGTATCAACACAGTTTGTTTTTAAAATTATGCAGTAGTGCCAATTACAAAAAAGTAAACAGGAAATTTAAAATTTTTTTTATATGAATAATATTTCTAAAAAAACTCGATGTAATTTATTTTAAAAGAAAATGAGGAAAAAATTAATAATGGCTATTATTATTATGACAATTTACGATGAATCATCAAAAATTCATATTTAATGCATTATTATTACTTAAATGTAGTATCACACGCCAAAAAATAATTTAATAAATCAATCGATTAGAAAATGACTAAAACCGTAAATGATATTCAAACAAAAAAAAGTAAGTTTGAAATTATTCACATTTTATTTCAGTAAAATGTACTTAAGTAAATATTTGTAAAAATTTACGAAAAAAAAAAAAATTTGAATTCGATATAATATTATGTAAACCAGGAAAAATGTAGGAAATAAAATTTAAAAAAATATAGCATAAAGTACCATATAATAAAAAAACTATGTCTATTATAATGAAAAAATAAATAAAATTTAAAAAAAAAAAAAAAAAACTAAAGCACGAATACATAAAATATTATTAATTTAAAAAATTGTTTTTTCAAAGTGTTTGTGTGGGTGTGAGACCGTGTCGTTTCCATACAGGGCACGACATTTTTCCAGTAAATTTTTGCACCTCGTTTGAATTTTTCGACGCGGAAAAATTCAAAGAAAAATAAAACAAAAATCATCATACCCCGTGGGAATCGAAATCCCTGGTCTTTTGTCACGAATACAAAAAAAAATTATCATCACTCGAATCGATACAAAACCTATGCGAGAGATCATATAACTATAGAATTTCTAAAGGTCTGTGTCGTACCACGCGGCCAATTGATGGTTGTCTTGGGGGGGTTGAGGCAAATCGTCCAAATGATCGAAATCCAACGCGGTCGAATCTCCTCCGACGTCCCCGAGGGGACCATAGTTCGATCCGGGACCGTGACTATCGATTTCTAATCCTTGCATTGAATCTATTGGTAGCGTGTCATAGCCTGGAAAATCGATTTAAACGCGATTCGATATTATATCATATTAAGGCGTTCGATATTGGACGAGTCAAAAAAAAAAAAATAAAACGGCGACCACGTGTGCGCAACGTGTTGAAAAATAAAAAAAATAAAGCTAAGCAATGAGGAAATGATTGATAGATAGACATTCTCCGACTATGAGCATGCGCATATGCAATTACCAAAATTACCAAAGGAGGAGGGAAAATTATAAGTAAAGGTACTACTCACCCTGATTTCCGTACTGTCTTCCTCCGTGACTGCTGTGAACGGATGGGGGACTTTGGCCATACATACCGTCATATCCTTGATCCGACCCTAACATGTCCTGTAACGTCGCATTACGACGATCAAAATAATATTTTATAGTAAAAAACAAAATAAAACAAAATAATAACAAAAAAAATAAATGATAATCTAAATAATAAAATAAAAAAAATATGCACTAAACTAAAAAATTCTCTCGCTCTTGCAAAAAAAAAAAAAAAAACTATAAATTTTCTACAATGGATCAATGCACTGGGTGACGTCATCAAATAAAAAATTTTAAATTTGCTTTTTGCTAATTTGCTATATCACATAAAATGCATATAATAATGAACGATAAAATGTGCACTGGCAAGAACGTTTTATTTTACGTTTAATAACAAAGGGAGGTGAAAGAATTGCAATTATTTCGCGTGTCAACCATTTGCAATAAAAAAAAATTAATAATTTTGCGGTACGAAAGAAAAAAAAAAACAAACTAATTAAATGCATTCTACGGTATTATTATTATTATTATCGTCGATATTTCGTGGTATTGCATGTGTCTGTGTGTACGTGTAACCCTGATTTGAGTTTAACGGTCGCGATTCATTGCCGTCGGTTCTATTACCTGAATATCGGGAGCCATTCCTATGTCGCCTCCGTTCCACATGTTTTGATCTTCGCGGAAAAGCGAATTCGTGAGTTCTAAAGAAAGTCGTTTCTTGTAATCGGTGGGTTTGTCTTCAGACATTCTGAACAAAACGGCTGCCGCGTACGTCGCTGAAATACGAAATAAAAATACGTTATTTCATAATACGTTTTATTATATTGAAAAGATCATCGTTTTCCGCCACTCACCGACTCCTTCGTTTCTGGAATGAAGAAGTTCTGTCAACGGAGCCGTGGCTCCTTCTTGCTCTATCATTTCTGCTCCTTCCTTATCCGAAGCCAATTCGCAAAGAACCCCGGCGGCCACTCTTTGAATGTTTTCGATTTCGTTGAACAAAAGTTGAACGAATATCGGAATCACGAGTTGACCGCGTATGATGGCGCGATTGTGAGACTCCCGAGCTAGAATGTGAAGAGCTCCGACCGTTCCCTCGACGATTTCTTCCATTCTGACCCCGTCCGCGTATGCTCCCGGTTGCTGACTCCCGCTGCTCGCAACCGACGATCTTTGCTGAAAGCAAATACAATTTGCGCATAAGAAAAAAACATCGATGCTAGTTCTTTTTTCCGACTTCTTTTACTCACTCTTTGCGTATCCTGGAATGCTCTCATCAAAAGTCTGACTAAATGATGTATTGCTCCGTGTTCTCTCAACGGAGCGTGGTTCGCCGGGCATAGTGCCAGGTTGCGGATCAATCCTATGACCGCTTTCACCAGTGGCCACCTGCTCGGAGGATGAAGAAGTTTTACTATCACTTGAATACCGTAATTGTGACGAACTGCGTTTTGAGCTCTTTCCGCTTCGACGTGTCTCGAAGTCAAGTGTCTCAGAGCGCACACGGCTGGTTCCGTGATCTCTTCCCTGTCTCCTGCGTTCACGATGGTTCTCACCAAAGCGTCTACTCCGTTCACCTAAAGAAAAACAAAAAATAGGTATGTATTTATTTTTGAAAATAGTGAATACTCTTTAATGGTTATATTATTTACCTGACACACGGTCACTTTGTTGCGTTGATTGTTGCACGTCAAATTACTTAACACTCCGGCTGCGCACGTCACCACGTTCACGTCCGTCGACGCTAACAACTGAACCAAACTCTGAAGCAATGCTTCGAGTCCGTCAACTTTCGTACCCGCATCCGATAAATTTCTCAGCGTCCAAAGACAATTTTGAACGAGTCTCTGACTTTGATGTCCCAAATGCATGGCCAGTGCTTGCATGCCTCCGGCCTCGACTATCGCCGGCTTATTGCTCACGCACACAGAAAGTGCTGAAAAAAAAAAAAAAAATTAATTTCGATTCGTTGTCGACTCGTTCATTTATAGAATTTTTGTGATTCCCGTCGGTCAATCGAACCTTTTAAAACTCTCGAAGTCGTCCACAGTAATTTTTCGTAGTCGTAAGATCGCATGATGCGAACTAATTCGATGGGTCCTTGAGATGCCAGGATTATCAATTTCGATTCTTGATTGCCGTACGCGAGAATTTGAAGACAATCCGTAACGATGGCTAAAAATTTCACGTTGTTTCTTTGAAGGAGAGCCACCATTTTTTGCAGACCGCCTGCCAATCTGACGGCCATTTTCGAACCCTCTTGATGTAGCAAAAGATTGTGCAACGTCGTGATGGCATAAAACAACACGGATTCTACCGGAGAACTGAAAAAATTTCATCCCACTTGTTTAATTTCTCGCCTCCTCGTGCACAAACTCTTGTTCTCTTTTTTTTATCATTCTTTTCCGCCTTTCTCGAACTTTTTTTTTACCTCAACAGTTTTACGAGAGCCGTGATTCCTCCGCTTTTGAAAATTGCAAGCAACCCTTGCCTGTGGTGGGAAAGGTTGTGAAGCGTTCCTACAGCTCCCTTCGTAGTTTCTAAATCGTTGCTGCTGGATATGGCGTGAACCAAGGCTGCCACCATCTACGCGTGAAAAAAAAAATCATCTCTTTAAAATCGATTCGTATTTAATTTATTTCCAATACCTCTTCGCTACAATCTAAATTGTAGACTAAAATCCCAGTACAGTAAAACCCTTTTTTTTTTTTTTCAACTATTGTATATATACTTACTTGCTGTTAACGGCATCAAATTCATTTGTTTGTCCGTTGCAAGCAGATAAAAAAAAATTTAAAAACCAAATAAAATTATTTGTCGTGTGACCTTTTGTTTTCTGACCGGAAACCGAATTTTTTTTTTTTCGTTTCGTTCGCGTCGAATCAACAATGAAACAAATATTTCGAACTCACCTGGTGACTGTTCATTATTGCGTGACGAGACGCTTCTTTTTTAGACAACTGGTGCACCATCATGGCGGCCTGGGAAACCACCACTTGATCTTCATCGTTTAGCAATTTTATCAATTCCGGTATGGCTCTCGTCGCGAGATCCGCGTCGTCTTGATAATTTATCAAATTCACAACGGCGTGTTTTAACATTTGACTCGGTTCTGCCAATCTTTGGACCGCTGTCGGTTGACCCGGATCGAATTGCGTCGAAGGAATTTCGATTCCTTCTTCCAGGGTTTCCGGAAACATGGCTGCTCTCACTCTTTGCGATCTCGTTTGGCTCAATTGTTGGTTCATTTCTGCTCGACCGCAACCCAAAAAAAAAAAAAAAACAACGTGTGAAAATTTAATTTTTATTTTTTCTTCTCCACTCCCCTCTCCGATCGTAAATTATTACCGTCCACTTGTTCCTGAGTGAATCCCTGAGTGAACTCTTGATCCAAATCAAACATCAATTGCTCCTCCATTTCTTCTTCTTTTCCGGTCAGCGAAGGAGCTTGCGTGGTCACTCCTGAATTTATTCCGGAGTCTCCCATGTATGAATTTTGCTGCCACATCAGGGTCTGGTCCTTCATAGACCCGTGAGACACTGCAAAAAAAAAACATTTTCGTCGTTACCCTTTTCTTTTCTCTCTTACTCTCTTTCTCTCTTTTCGATTCCACTTTAAAAAAAAATACCCAAGATAACATATGAGTCACTACTTCCTTCTTGGAATTATGCATTTCTAATGTGATTGCAAATCAATCATTTGTCCTAACAATAATTTTCTTCTCTTTTTTTCTACTTGCTATTTTGTTTGGTTTACCTTTATTCTCTTGGGAATAAGGTTCTGGAACTTAAGAGTATTCAATACTAACTATCTTTTTATCCTATTTATCGATTCAGATTTAAGAATACTTCTTATCCATTATCTTTTTTAAAATT